CTTATAACTTGTCACTCGGTGGGTTTGTTTTTTTATTACATAAAAAAAACTTGTTAAAAGTGGAAATTTTGGTTTTTTCAGAACTATTAAGTTCGAAACTAAATTAACGATAAGTGCAACATGGCTGGATAAAAGTATATGAATATATATATATATAGTCGGATAATTAAATCAAACAAGGGGTTTTGTTTTAAGTACCGTTAACGAATGTTTATTTTAAAATCCCCCGAGCTAATTGACCGCGAAGTCTGACAAGCTCTTTTCCCTACACCTTTTCCTTTCTACTGGGGTGGTAGTAGTAGGAGGGGAAGCATACACATATACTGCAAAAGCATGACAAACGCGGGAAAAATAAATAATTCCTCTGCATGGTTTGCGGTTTACTCGTCAGGACAAAATGGAGACGAGTTTATTTAATAATACTTCGAACGCTTATATTTATGAGTTCCTGGTTCAAAAAAGAGAAAGAGATTGAGAAAGAAAGAGAAAGAGGAGCCACTCAAAATAGGTAGAAAATGCCATCTCACACATATTTTTCGAGAAATCGGATGTCCCCTCTAACGAGTGTTCGTTGAAGCAAGTTTATTTCTCGTCACTAATCCCATTACATGCGCTCACTGCGGTTTTGTCCATTTCTCAGTCAATCTCCCTTTTCTGACAAATGAACCAACTTACAAAATATACTCTCACTCACTGACTTCCCAAGAGTGGTTTTAACGAAAAGCACTCAAGCCGAAAACTTGTCTTTCTGTACTATATACAAGTTGCTTTATACGGCTTATTTCCGTTTTACATTACAAAATTTTACTTATAATTTGTTACATTTAAAAAGCATGAGAAATATTTTATGCTAGTATTTTTATATATTTTAATTTCAACATTTGGTTTTTTTTATCGAAATCTACATTACCGACGGAGAATACACTAGAAGTCTACTTTACCGATGAATGGTAAAGTAGAAATGCGAATTACCTGCTGACAATATAGTAGCAATCGACATTATCGACTGATTACATTGTAGGAATTTATGTTATCAGCTGATGGTAATGCAGAAATAATGCTGATATATGGGGAAGTAGAAATGTGCATTGTAGAATTCTATTTAACCGATTGATGGTAATGTAGCGATAATCTTTACCGACTGATGGTAATTACTGGATTAAAAATTAAAAACTATAAATGAAAAGAAACAAAATTTTTAAAGATATTTTTTTCCTAACATTACTCCTGTCATTAATTATTTTGTTGAATAATATAATAATTCACTTGGTTGGATCGGAAGTAGATTGGAAAAAAAGTGAAAGTATTTATAATTCAAACGAGTTCTCTTCACTCACAGCACGTGTACGAGATATGAAACAAAAAAAAAAAAAAAAAAAAAAATGAAAGAAAGAAGTAAATTGTCAAAATCTTTGTATAAACTTAAATTCCCTCGTGTTTGTATGCTTTCACCATAATTTCTCGTCTTATTAATTAAAATCTGTGATCGTGTTTTTATCAGCGGAATATATAGAATTAGAATAGACGTTTTGCATTTGCATTTGAAAATAAAATTAATACATAATTTGAAAAGCATGGTTTCTAATTGCTCTCAACTCTTGACCTGGAAAGTTATGCTTTCATTAAATCTCTGTCAAAAATTCTTTTGCAAATATATCCTTTTAATAAATGATAATAAAATCGACATTCCTGTGTCAACATGTGGGAGAGATTTAATAAAATTAAAAAAAAATTCTTTTATATTTTATAACATTATTTTTTTTTTTATTGTGTAAAGAAAATTTATTTTTAGAAAAAAAAAAAATTATTCAAAAATTCAGATCGTTTTGTTATTTATTTACATAAATATATTTTTTTTTTTTTTACTTTTTTGAAATTATTTAATGTTTCTAGAGAGTTTGTTTTCCAATAAAATTTATTGTGATTTTTAATTTTTCAAATTATTAACACAAGTGATACTTTAAAGTTTAGATATATGGAAATAGAAAGTAAACAATTTGAGACATTGTTAAAAAACCGGGGAAAAATAAGGTTGAGAGTGATTGGAGATATCGTTATAACAGTCCTTATTATTGTCATTATGCGACAGGGAAAAAAGGAAAAACAAAAAGTTAACTGAGAAAGTATACATATACATAGATGGTTTACTGTGCTAGTAGAACAAGATGATTGTTTAATGAGTATGAAATTTTTTTCATATAGGTATATATTTTTTATTTATTTATTGCTAATGATAATAATATTAAAAAAATTTTAGTACAAAATAAGCTTATCTATTTTTTTTTAATAAAAATACATTTGAAAAAGAAGTAAATTTTATTTAATTAAATTAAAATTTTTTTCAATGAATGGATCTATTGATTTCTGCTTGTGAAATACAAAATTTAATTAATTTGATTTAATTATCGAATAAATTTATTAATGATAGAGATACTTTATGAGAATATAATTACATTATATTTTAATATTGGCACAAAATTTACGAGTATTTTTGTAAATTTAATGAATAACGAATAAATTATATTTTTGACACTTCTTTCATGATTGAATAATAATAAGAATTAATGAGATTATTAAACATTTTAATAAAAATATTTTTAATTAATTAAAATTGTATATTCTTTCAAAAATTTTTATTTATTAAATTTATTTATTTACTATTAAATTACAAAATTAAAAAAAAAATTATGAAAATTTATAATTTTAATAACTACAAAATTCAAAAGCAGTTTCAAATAATTAATTAAATAAATTTCATTATACAAAACTTTCTTTTTAATATTTTTAATAGGGCAAAAGTGATGAAAACGCATTTTTTACACATACACAAGCTCTTATTTATTTTTTGGACTCTTGTATTTTAAAATGAATAATGAAGGCGTTTCTTGAATGCAAAATAGGATTTTGTCGATATTTAAAAAAAATTTGCGATAATAAGTGACATACTGACACGTTGAGATCTCGTTTTCAAGTTCAAACACATATATAGGGCATTGAAAATTGTATGAATCTTTGTGTCGCCTAAAGGGGGGTTCCTTTCACGATCAAAGTGCAATGTATAGAAAAGAGGAAAGTGAAAACTTGTCACCTATATATTATTTATTGAATGACAAATATATGTCTCTAGTCTAATAATAATAATGGATGCTTTTTTTTTTTTTTTTTACTAATTTGGATACCAAGTATAGTAAAAATCTTGGTACCACAAATTGAAACAATCGTGATTCCAAAAATAGTAGTAATCTTGATATACTAAAGACAATAAAAATATTAGTGCCCAAAAAAAGGTTCCAATTTTAATACCAATAATGGTACCAATTTTTGGTACGATTAGTGGTATAACAAATTTGTTAATAAAACTTTTATTAATTGAAAATCGATAGGAAAATATTAATAAAATTGGGTGGGAGTGAAGTTTGAAAAATTAGTTGAACTTAAGAGAAAGTAATGACTATAAGGAAACTTAGAATGAAAAATGAAATAAACGCACACATGCGACAACTGAAAATTGATTATCGTATATATAAAGTTGGCTTTTATTACAGACTTGTAGCTCATGTTTTGCATTTATTACCTCATTCATTTATGCGATTTATATCAGACTAATATACATATGAATATAGTAAAGAGTGATTATAATATAAAACACATCATGCCCCTTCATATTAAAATTAAAAGATCTTGATTTCATTAATCTATTTAATTATTGAAACGTTAAAAAATGAATTATTTCTATTTCTGAGATTTTTGCACACTAAAAAAATGCTTCCTTTTTTTATATATATGAGGCATTCTTTGTCAACTAAAGCTACCCATCTCTCCAAAATTGATTTAGCTATAAAAAATCGGACAAGGTCTTACAAATTCTATAAAAATAAATACTTTTTAATGCAGAGTGGCGTTTTTCAAAATTCAAAATGGCGGATCCAATATGGCGCCTAATTTTTTAAAAATTCATTGGATTCACTTGAAAATGGTTACACGGGGGTTTTTGGGGTCGCTGATTACGAATCCAGTGATACTTTTTAAAAATTCAAAATGGCGGATCCAATATGGCGGACTTTTTTTTAAAAAATCATCGAATTTGCCTGAAAATTGTTACTCGGGGGTTTTTGGGGTCGCTGATTACGAATCCGATGTTAGTTTTCAAAAATTCAAAATGGCGGATCCAATATGGCGGACTTTTTTTTAAAAAAATCATTGGATTCACTTGAAAATGGTTACTCGGGGGTTTTTGGGTTCGATGATTACGAATCTAATATTAGATTTTCAAAATTCAAAATAACGGATGATTTTTAAAAAATTTATTTCATCCATTTTAAAATTGAAGTAAAAGGTCTCTGTGTTTTACCTTTTTTTTACCTTTTAGTTCAATTTTAAAATGAATGAAATAAATTTTTTTTAAAATCATCTGTTATTTTGAATTTTGAAAATCTAATATTAGATTCGTAATCATCGACCCCAAAAACCCCCGAGTAACCATTTTCAAGTGAATCTAATGATTTTTTAAAAAAAAAGTCCGCCATATTGGATCCGCCATTTTAAATTTTTGAAAACTAACATCGGATTCGTAATCAGCCACCCCAAAAACCCCCGAGTAACCATTTTCAAGTGAATCCAATGAATTTTTAAAAAAATTAGGCATTAAAAGGTATTTATTTTTATAGAATTTTTAAGACTTTGTCCAATTTTTTATATCTAAACCAGTTTTGGAGAGATGGGGGGGCTTCAGTTGACAAAGAATGCCTCATATAAATTAATTTATTAATTTAATAAGCAAAAGAAAAAACAAAGAAACTTTACTATCTTTGAAAACAAATGTTTCAGTTTAATTTTTTTCTTTTGCTTATTAATAAGTCTTGTCTAAAATCAATATTTGATTTGTTGATAATTTATTTAATCTCGTGGCGTGTGCCAGTGAACTCTGCTTATCGAAAGAGAGAAAAAGTAAAAAAATAATTGTCAAGAGGAAGGAGCTGATACGTGAGAGTGAAGGAGATGGGAAAAAAGACGAAAAAAAAAAAGGAAGGAGCTCTCTTATAAACAGATCCTGTTTGGTAGCAATTCTCAGTTTGTTATGCATTTCACGTGGACGTTAGACGCCCAGAAAACTGGGACATCATGAAGACGCGTCTTATTTGCAAAGTAAATCCCTTTTTTTTTTTTAATAGTTTTAATTTTGTGTAAATATAGTGAAAAAAAAATTTAGTTACAAATTCTTTTAAATTAACATTTTTCTTTTTTCAAAATGATTTTTAAAAAATATTCTTTATAGATGTTTTGGCTTTTGTTATTGCTGGTTGCTTCAGCGGAAGGGACATTTTTCGAATAGTACGTAACGTTTTTGTAAAATTAAAACAAACTGATAATCTTAAAAGAAATTTATTAACATTAACACTAATAATTATAATTAAATATAAATTAGCTAACAATTAATTAATAATTTCATATTATAAAGTGTGTAATTCGAAAATGTTTTAAGTTCGAATGTACATTTTTATAATTAATTAATTTACATATATATGTTATATTATATGAATAATAGATCGACAATAATTATTATTTTAATTATCAATTAATTATTAAATACTTTAGGTAGAGAAATATTAAATATTGAATTGAAATTGAGAAATTTTTTTAAAATTAAAAAAAAAATTTTTTTTTAAATATTAAAATTTAATTTTTAACATATTGTGTTTTGGAATTTTAATTTTATATTAATTTTGTTGATTTTTTTAATAAACTACACACAAGTTTTTTTTTCCTCTCTTGTTTTTCCTTTTTAGTTAGCCGATTAATGTTTACCGGTGGGTTTGGCAGGCCAAAAGCCGCAATTTCTTCGAGCGTACCGATAAATTACCCAAACCAACTAATCCGAATTAACCATGGTGCTGCAGGTTGGTTTCAATTGATTCAACCGTTTCGCGCCACGATAAAAGCTCACATTTCACTATATATTTTGAATTCTCACGAACAATATTCGCGCAAAACTAAAAATACACGAATGCCTTATTTTTGTGGGATTTTGTTCTCATCGTGTATATACTGAAAAAAAATTGTAGTTTTTTTTTTTATTATTATTCACAAAATACCAAATTGTAAATTATATTTTTTTGTAATGTTTATTTTTGATTTCCAAACAACTGAAACTGTTTTTTAAAAATATCAAGTAAAATGCAAAAAAAGAAAAATTAATTAAATTTTCATTAATAGATAATATAAAATATTATTGTTATTGGGAAACATTTTTAATAATAATTATAATAAGCATTGCATGTAATGTAAAATTATAATTAGCGAAGCTTTTGTAATAATTATTGTTAATGGAAAAATAATGAATTAATTAAAAATGAAATGTTAATAATAATAATAATAGAAATATAATGAATTAATTAAAAATGAAAATACAGAAAGCAGGAATAATAGGAAATGATTTTTGTGGTAAAATTTTTGAAAGTATAACTTATATATATATATATATATATATATATATATTTAAAAATAATATTCATTATTTATGAGGAATTACGTTCAGAGAATTATGAATTATTTGTTCTGAGTGTGAGCACTTAATGATTTTGTTGCTGCTAATGGCGAATTAATTTTCAATTAGCTCAGCTGGTACCATTGCATGTATTGTACAGTCATTTATTTGAAGGATTAAATCACTCACATCAATTTTTTGTTCAAAAACACAATTTTCATAATAATAATATTATCTATTTTTATAATTTTAATTTCTACATATTAGTTAATTTTAAAAAAGTTTCTCTATTTTGAATGAATGAATTAAAAAGTTTATTAATAATAATTAATTAAAAACTGAGTAATAATAAATTTGTAGTAGATTTGATTAAAATTAACGTAAATTTGTTTTAAATAAAATTGTTTTAAAAAATTTCACATCTAAACAGTATTTTTTATTCTCCTAGCTCGAGGAAAGCGTTAATTGACTTTTTTCAAACTTTAAAAGAGAAAAAAGAGGATCAAAAATTATGGAATGTTCATCATTATCATGTTCACTATTATCCCACTCCTTTGGAGGAATTAAATGCAAAACCACTGCACGCACCGGAAAAAAATCAATTAAATGAATTGCATAGGTATTAAAAAATGAGTCTTATAAAAAAAAAAAGATAATATGGACAATTTTTTTTTTTTTTTTTTTTTTGAAAAATTACATTCTTTTTTATTTCTTAGCGAATCTTTAAGATCGATGGGTTGGTCGGATCAAGAATATCCTCTTCCCGATCCTAAACTTATTTTTCCATCAAAAGCTGAAGAAAATTGGCTCGAAACAAATGAAAATTCACGAAAAATGTCATGGTCATGGGACAACAATATATTTGGTGAGAAAACTCACAAAAAAAAAAAAACTAAAATTAATACAAATAAATTCATTTTTAACCATTTTTTTTTTCTTTTTTTCTAGAATAATTCTCAATTTTCACGATCCACGATTTTTCATATTATTTTGAGAAAATTAAAAAATTTAAACAAAAAAAATTTAAAGAAGCAAAAGAATAAATGAAAAAAAGAAAGAAGTTTATTAGAATTTTTTTCTTATATACAAAAAGAAAAAAAAAACATACTTTTTTTGTGTGTATATTAATTTTTTAGAAACGAAACCAGTATCACCACCATCAGTGGAACATCAACCAGTTTTGGTACAAGTTCCAATTCATCAACAAATTGTCCTTCAACAACCACCAATTAAAGAGGAGAAAAAATTGTCATTTTTCGCGGCTCTTTTCCAAAAATTGCGACGAATAACAAAAGCACTCTTTCATGTGGAAAAACCTCATGACGATTGTGACGATAGAAAAGACGATGATGAAACAATAACAACCAATAAACTTAATGGTTATATGGTTTATATAAATTCAAAAGCAAATCAAAGAGTTTAGTTTCACAAAAAAAAAGGGAAGAAAAAAACATCTCTTTTTTGCAAATATCAACTGTGATAACTGTTAAGAGTTTAAAAAAAAAATTAATTTTTTTAGTGACAAGTGAATATAAGGCTTTTTTTTCACATAAGAATGAGATAGTAAATGTAAATTTTATCGACAATTAGTAAACTTTGACATATTTTTATTTTCTATTGACAAAAATTGCAGACTGTTTTATCAACAGTTGGCAAATATGTTTGTCATTATACTTTTATCAACCATTGATAAAACGTTTGTACCTTTTTCTTGATGGAAAATCAGTGAATATTTCCCCTCTTTTTAATCTACTGTCAATAAAACAAATATCTATTTTATCGTCAGTTTGTAAAACATTTTTTTCATTTACCAACTATCGGTAAAAATGTTTTAACAATAAACAAAAGAAGACAGTAAATGATGTCCATCTATACAAATAAATTTTGTATTTTGGAATTGATTTTTTTTTTCTTAAATTATATAATAATTATTATAAGCACACAAGAGGGTTATAGTTGTATAGTTTAGTTTTATTCGTAAATAGAAATTATTTACTTAAGACTGAGCATTGGCATTAGTGTAGAAAAAAGTTGTAAATAGTACTGAATTTAAAAAAAAGAAAATTGTCCTTGTTAATTAATTTTATTGATTATAAAATTAATGTTGTATTAAAATTATAAGATCTTCTTAAAAACTCTAACTCCTGTATTTTTTTAAATGACAGCATTTTTTTTCAATCAAATAAAAATTTTTTTTTTTATTTATTTTTAAGTGGAAAAAATTAAAAACTTTAAAAAATATTGCCCTATAATGTTAATAAATATTTTCTCAATTCAAATGATTGAGTGAAACTTTTACATTGACAATTATGGTCCTGTCATCAGATATGTCAAGTGATATGTATAATCTAATGCCGGTATTTTGACATCTGACCTCTCGTGAAATCTTAAAGTAGAATGTCACTCGAAAGTCGTTGACAATCTCATGCAAGGATTATTAATACTTTCACTTTGTAAACGATATATGAAAATACAGGTATTTACTCTCGTTTATGATTTTTATCTATTAGAAACGTGTATTAGTAAAGAGTTAATTGCAAATTAGATTTTTTCTTTTTCATTTTTTTAGTAGATCCCTTTTTAATCGAATAAAATTTACATCATTTTTTTAACATTTATTATTAATATTTTTTATTTGCTTAATTTTTTAAACATCAAATTTCAATGAAAGTGTCTTGTATATATTATATATAGTATTGTCGTGTTCGTTCTCAATGGAAACAAAAGTGAACTGGTAAGGAAGTAAGCTTTATTGTTGAAAACCCACGTCCCAAAAGTAATATTGTCTAATGTGCTTCTCTTAAATAACTATGGTCCAAATGAAAAAAAAGGAAGCAGTCATTATTCGTAGCGTGTAAAAGCCAACTACCCCGGGGATTTGTTCCCTTTTAGATATTTTGCCATCTATTCTCACAACACGTATAAATACAACGTTCCAGAATATAGTTCATCATCAAAATTCATCTTTAAATTTCAAATATCACGAAATATTTCTTTTTTAAATGTAAGATATATAATTAATAATTAACGTTTAATTATACATTGAATTTTATTTGAATTTAATGAATTATTCATTAAAATATAATAAAATTAGAAATCTACTTTATCGACTGATGGTTAAACAGTTTATCATATATAATTGACAAAAATATTTTTTACAAAGCGTATCAAAGCATGTCAAAAATGTAACGAAAATTGTCCTGAACTTTCAACGAGAACAAAGATGGTAGTCTCTCAACATATATATACAAAATTGCGAGTCACAAGTGCATATGAGTGTTGAATTATAATACTCTCAGATGCACGCAATTTTTCTAACCCTTAAAAAGCGCTAGACGTCATATTTTCTCTATCGGGATTTTTAGGAGAAAAATTGTCACTGAATTTTTCCTATATCGACTTACTCTCTATCTTTCCCTTTTCCCAGAAACAAATCACTTGTATTTTTCTCTCGACTATTTTTATCATGTGTCGCAAATTTTTTTTCTCACTTTATTTCCATCCAATAATTTGTACCATATATATATATATATATATATATATAGAAAATGAATTGTACAACATATACTCAATACCAAGAGCATGATAAGAATTTGAATTGTAATGATTTTTTGCATAATATTACAATCACCAAAAATTAATTCAAATTTATTAATGTAAAATATTACAAGAAAATTATATTCTTTTTTTAGGTATTTCCTACTTCAAGTAGGATGAAGAGGCAGAGCTTATCATATGGACGTAAGTAGTCATACTAAAGTGGGCGGTGCGTGTTTAGATGTAGGTATAAATTAGGCGGAGTTTAATGATTGGTAGGGATAAAAAGGCGGAGCTTAATATATGGTCGTAAGTAGCCATACTAAAGTGGGCGGTGCGTATTTAGATGTAGGTATAAAGTGGGCGGAGTTTGGTAATTGGTAGGGATAAAGAGGTGGAGTTTGATAAATGGTAGTGGGGCTTAGTATATAGTCGTAAGTAGTCATACTAAAGTGGGCGGTGCGTATATAGATGTAGGTATAAAGTGGGCGGAGTTTGGTAATTGGTAGGGATAAAGAAGTGGAGTTTGATAAATGGTAGGGGGGAAAAGAGGCGGAGCTTAATTATTGGTAGGGATGAAAAGGCGGGGCTTAGTATATGGTCGTAAGTAGTCATATTAAAGTGGGCGGTGCGTATTTAGATGTAGGTATAAAGTGGGCGGAGTTTGGTAATTAATAGGGATAAAAAGGCGGAGCTTAGTATATGGTCATAAGTAGTCATACTAAAGTGGGCGGTGCGTATTTAGATGTAGGTATAAAGTGGGCGGAGTTTGGTAATTGGTAGGGATAAAGAGGTGGAGTTTGATAAATGGTAGGGGGGGAAAAAAAGAGGCGGAGCTTAATATACTGTCGTAAGTGGTCCTATTAAAGTGGGCAGGGCATATTTAGAAGTAGGTATAAAGTGGGAGGAGTTAATGAAAGGGGTGTTAAGAGGTGGGGTTTAGTAATAGATCGTTATAAAAGTGGGCGTGGTGTGATAAGTACTGGGGATAAGTGAATAGAATTTGAAAAGCATTACAAATTAAATTTAAGTCTAAATAATGTACTACAAGATATAACAATAACTATTAGTAGTGCAAAATATAAAAATGTTTATTTTGTAACGAAGTTTTAATAATATTGGATGAAATGAAATAAAAAATGCATTAGGATTAAAAGTACATGATATATTTGTTAGGTACCAAATATATATATATATATAAAAGTCGGATCTCAAAAGAAATGAAGAATTGTGTGGAAGGGGAATCCCAATTCACCACTAGCTTGGTAATCCACTTACAGTGAGTCGATACGACTGGCACAGAACTCTCCAAACAGAGATATATCTATATTGTATTAAACCACTACAGCAAATTGTCCCGACGTTCCTGCTATCACTGATACCTTGCGCTTTGATTAACATATTGCTTTTCGCATCCAAAGGGTCAATAATAATGATATAGAAAAAGAAATTGTTTAAATCAAATTTTTCACATTATTAAAACACTCTTTTTTGGCTTGCTCTGTAAAAAAAAATTCAGTTCAAAACCACAGTTATTTTAAAAATAATAGGTACATTTTGCACTTGATTTTTTTCCTTTCTTTCAAAATTTGTTTAATAACTTATTTTTATTATTAAATTTTACGGAAGGAAAAAAATGAATTAAATAACAAAAAAAAAAAAAATCGAAATAAAATTAGCGCTCGATATAAATATATAAACGCGAAAACATCCCTCGAAAATTTTAGCGAACTGAAGAGCAATTCAACCAATTATAGTTTGGAAAATTTTCCATATGCAAACAAAGGAATTAATTTTATTTCTGCAGTTCGTTTGCCATGAAATTTTGCGTCTAACTCATGGTGAAAAAAAATTGTGTTTGGCCTGTACATATATATATATATATAAACCAAGGAATGAAATTGCATTTGCAATTCATGGATATAATATATACATATATATATATATATATGTATTAAATTCAAATTAATTTTCACCATTTTTCCAATGACTGGAACCGAAAGATTTATACAGGTCAACTTTATCAAAAAATTAATTTGCATTTATTTCACACAATTTACTTGCGGTTGTAGTTGAATCTTTACATATAACCGCTTTTGAAATTAAAGAATTTCGTTATTCTCTCCCCCTTTTTTCATTATATCTTTGTCTTTTTTTTCCCCCTCCCCCCTCACTCCACTGACCTTAGTACTTTTACGCGGGGATTTTTTCTCGAAATCTCATGTTTTATGCACTTTCGTGATTTTTCCATATGTACGTTGCGCGAGGGTATATATATTTTCTAACCAATTGTAAAAAAGAAGCGTTTAAGTGTAAAAAGAAAAATAATTTAAATTTCTGTGAATTATTTTTTTCAAAAACAATTCTAATAAAAAAAAATGTTTAATATTCTATTTTTATGCATTTTGTTACATTTTTATAAGTGACATAAAAAATTATAGAAAAAAAAAACAATACTTGTGGCGACTTAGAAACCGATCCTTGCTAGCTGTGTATCTTTTTTAGTGAACATTATAAATCGTTATATTATGAGAGTGTAGACCATAAAAATGTTTTTCGTGGTTCGATCGATCGAATAAACGAACAAAGGATCTCACTTGTAAAACCAAACGAATTTATGGATGCTGTGGTCAACCCTGGGGTATCCTCCTCTTGTGTCTCTCTTCTTATATCTGGGGATATTCACTTTTTTTCGTTGTATTTTGCAACTTTTAAATGTTTTTTTTATAGTGTCTAGCTGCGTTTCATATTTTTTTACTGCCTCAACCATAAAAATATTTATCGTTCTTACCGCGTGTCATTTTATTGTAATTTTTTTATTTTAATATTTCCAAAAATGTTGCAAAAAAATTTTTCACTTTTGATGAATTTTTTTTTTCTTTTTTTTTTTTACAATTTTATATAAATATTAAAAATTGAATTCTTATTTTCTTTATATGACTCTTACAGTCTCCTTGATTTTTTTTTTAACACGAAAATAATTTTTACTCAATTTTGGCGCCCAAGGCGATTATTTTACTCACATGCAGTATTTCATATATATATATATAATATTTGAATATATTTGTTATACCAAAGTAATGTGTCATATGGGTAATAAAAATGTAATAGCTCTTTAAATAATCCTATATACACGTCTACTATATATTTATGTCATGTCTTTAGTTTTATTCTTCTAACAATACTCAATAAGTTTAAAAAAAAATGTTTTAAATTTTGTCATTTCCATAATAAAAAATTTCAAAATAAAAAAAAAATTGGGCAAGACATATGACGGAGGTGGTAGTGGGAAAAGAGAGGCAGTACAAAAAAATAGTAGCGAGAGGGCTTCAGATAAAATTGAAGCACGTACCGGCAAATACATTATGGGAACACATTTTATGAACTGAATAAAGTATCGCGATGCCGAGTGTAATGCCCCGACCATTTATTATAAGTTATCGCATCGCATTGCCGAGAATTGGCTTCGAATCTAGATTTTTTTTGACACTGTCGACTATTCATTTTACCCTCGACATTGTCATTTTACTTTTTTTATAAGAAAATGAACGTGGAAAGTTTAAAAAAGAAATTACATTCTCAAAAAGTTGGTTCTGTTCATATTGAAAAAAAAAAACCTCTTTAAAAAAAATACTATAAACGGTGGTCACTAAGTGGGAGGGAATAAAGTGGGCGTGGTGTATAAAATAGTGGGGATAATCTGGGCGGGTCAGAAAACGTGGGGAAGAAATAGGAGGGGCTTACGGTGGTGGGAAGGAAGTGGGCGTGACGTGAAAAATAGTGGAAATAACAGGTCTTGAAAGTAGGTAACGTGATTCAATAATAAAATTAAAAAATACAATACTTTATTGACTGTAGTCAGTATTTTCTCCAGTGTCACAAAAAGAGCGCTTTTTTAATTACATGGAGGGAAAAAAAAATAAATTTCTTTCAGGACGATCTATCCTTTTAACTCCTCCCCTCACCCATTATTTTGTTTCCACTGGCACACACTTTTTATTCTTTTTTTTTTTTTTTTGTTTTATTTATTGACGACAAGTTTTTCATCCGAGCATAAAAGCCTAAAACAACATTTACCAATTTTTCTCCAAAGGCTACATACTGGGAATTAATTAGATTTTATTTTTTTTTTCTCTCTTGAACGTCCGGTATGTGTGTACTATACCTCCCCTCCCCCTCTCTTTTTCTTTTGCCGAACGACCAACTCCCGCCCGCTTGACCCTTTCTATTCCCTTTCATCCCTTATTTTTAATTATTCCTGTAAACCAACCGTTTACTCGTCAGCCTCGAGGCTATACCTCGAAAATGGGAGAGAGACAGAGATAGAGAGAGTGAAATCAAAATACGAAGTTTAAATTTCTCTCGCGAAAATCGTTCGGCTACTCTTCAATTTACACTCGAGGTAAAGCGCCCAGTTGGAAAAGTGGGAAATTCGAAACTGATGATTCGTCAAATCCAGACAAAGCAAACAGCTTCATTTCAAATTGTAAAACGTACAGTTTTCTGTTACTGCAATTTTTTTTCCTATACTGACTTTTTCTTTTCCAAGGGGGATTTTTTTGTGTTTGTAAAATTTTTATTCCAAATACAAAAAAAAAAAGAAAAAAACCCACAAGTTTCGTAACAAGTTTTCTCTGAAAATATTCACGATGTGTATATTATATATATATTTTCATTTTACAACTCGCCGATAGAGAATAATGTTTAGACAATGAAAAATTTTAAATTCATTAATTTATTGAAAACATTGAAAAATTTATGTACCACAGTTTTGCCAAACAGGGAGAAAAAGTTTTTCCCATTCGAAAATTTCCCTTATCGAAAATTACTTGATTTTTCTTTTTTTCTGTCAGTGTAAATTTTGTAATTTGGAATTCAAAGATCGTTCTTTGCTTAATTTCTTGGAGCGTTGGTGGTTCGAACGTGGCCGTCGCTGCCACCACCAGTAAAGCCAATCAACTAATGACTGACACCCCGAACCCCCGTGTACAAACGGGCTCCACTCGCCTCCCGCTCTCTCTCTCTCTCTCCTTCCCCCCATTTATTCTCTGCTGTGCAGCCACGCCGTTCCCAAATGCAGGCAGACGTCAAGCTGTCCATGGAAATAATTTCAATAAATCCTTTTAGCCGATAATGAATTAAAAAAAATTAAGTTTGACTGCTGCCATTTGGATGACCGAGAGCACAAGATTTGTTGTCGACAA